CTAAGTGTTATAGTAATCCTATATACAAAATTTCAACGTTCTGAGGCTACTCGTTTTTGAGTTAAGCGAGACACATATATACGTACGTACACATGCCACGAAAAAAATCTATTTTGAATCCGTTTTAAATCTATTTTACAATCCGTTCTGGGAAAAAGAGTGTCCATACGTACAGATGTCAAGCAGAAACATCTTAAATTGGATTTGAGAGCTATCAACGGATATTTTCGTTGAAATATGATGCCCGAAAATTTTCGCAATAATAATATCTTTCTTTCATACAAGAAATTAAAAAGACTAACGAAGAAATTTAACGTCTAAGAGTTAAAAAACATAAAAAAGCAAAGGGAAGACAAATTTCCTAAGATGGCATATGACGAGTACGATCCATTGGGGTTCTGTGACTTTTAACTATGGAATGTATGAAAATATTCTTAAATTAGAAATAATTACCCTTGTCAAAACCAGCTGCCTGCTTTCTTCTAAGGCAGCCAAATGTATAAATAGAGTATGTTACACAAAATACTACAAAATACTTTCTTTTTCTCACAATCATCGACATTTATTTGGGTTTCATACCTCATTTGTTTTAGGTTTTATGTATCACAATGTAAATGTTTAATGTTTACAACCCACTTACTTTGCTTTCTAAATATCATCAACATTTGGATACTTATACAACAAAACTTAAACAAGAGTTAATGGTGGTAATAAGGCAAAAGTTCAGATCCCACCTTCAGCGGCAGTTCCTAAGACAGTTTAAACAAGGAATTCTTCTATAAAATTCTTCTGAATTTCATTTATCAATTGTTAAAACATAGTAACGAAATAAACAATCACATATACAAATGTAAATGCTCAAACTGCATGAAAGCGTCACGTTCCTTCTTCAGAACCAACCGTAATTACCATAACGAGTTCCGTCACCTGTGGTTCTTTTCTTTTTATTCAGCATCCTGAATCTTGCGCAAAGGCCGAAATCCTTTTAAAGGATAAAGATTCCGAAGGGGGACAGAAAAGAGGGTTCCTAATTGTGGGGTTCAGGAACTCATAGAGAGGTAATTTTTGCGTCAAACTAGTGACACAGTGACAGACGGGCTGCAGGTTTTTTCTTTTCTCCTTTTTTTCAGGAGGAGTGAATAAAAAAGATCTCAACAACAGTCAATAGTGCATAGTCGTGCACCGCCCATCCTCGCTTTCTGGTCAGGGATTATATTTCTGTTCTTGTTGTTTTTATTCGATATTTTTACAATTAGTTGAGAAGAACGATGTTTTGGAAAAGCAGCTGGCTGTCCGTAAATATGGTTAATTCATAATTTGAAGAAGCTCTCTTTCCTGCATATTTTCAAATGCGATTAGAAGAGAATGGCGAGCTTTAGCAGCGAAGTTTGTAAACGCCATATGTCTAACTTAATTAATATAAAGTCCCTTGAAGATAATCTAAGCTTTCCCAATTTATTCCGTAAAAAAAATTCGAAGATTTACTGTACCTAAAAACAGATATTAGTTTCTTAGCTAAAGAAATTGATCTAATTTCCAGTTTATTAAGGAAATGTAAACCTTCTAAATTTTAATAAAATAATTCCATTCTAAGGGGTAAAGTCGCTGAGCACTGGTAGTTCGGTCGGAGGTTCGAATCCCCCGAAAGGGCTCGCTGCAGGAGCGTTTTCGTGCTTCTACTCATGTGTAACGAACGTGTCTACGAGACAGTTTCCCTTAATAAGTCCTCCACGAAGGTATCATGCCTCCTAGTTGTTCCATTTAGAGAGTTCGAGGCAAAATTTTGTATTCCTGCTGAAATTTTACTATTACAAGCACATTCCACAATCGCTAGTTTAAAATTAAGACAAAGAATATCACGATTTGTTTGTAAAACCGTTGAAACTTGGAATATAACAAAAAGAACGCGTACGATAACGGCGACATTGTTTGACTAAAGGATTATTGTAAACATGGTTGTCTGAAGAATGGTTACGCTCGTGGTTGCCAGAGTTTTTGACTTCTATTAACAAGTGGTTGCGATAACACCTATATACGACCTCAAATAACATGAGATTGAATCAAAGGTAAAAGAATACGTATTTATGTCAAAATCTTGGCACGTGAATTTTTGGTGACACCTAACTACGACCGCCCGGTGGCGAAGTGCTATCGCGTCGCGCAGCTGCAACACAGGTCCGGGGTTCGATCCCCAGTTTGGGCATAGTTGACTCAGGCTTTCATCCCTTGAGTGGGTTGATAAAATAAGTAACAATTTCGCTTGGGGACTAAACGCCGCAGGTCCTGTAACAAGCTGACCACTTGCTCAGGGGATATGCTGATGCAGTCAGGGGCCCAAAGGTCAACAAAGCAGAAAAAGGGCACTGTAGGCCGTGGTCCACTTCTTTACACTGAGTGTAACTTACATGATAAACATTACAAATAAAATATATGACATTCGTTTATTCGAAATTTAGTTGGTCACGAATACGTTTTGCCAGGTATTACTTACTACCATGCACCATTTCGCAATTTAATTTTTTGATTCAAATGACTATTACGTTGCAATATAAATAAATTATTACGATTTATAACCCGCTTATGAGTTTTCAGCCTTCAGCATCAATGTGTTTGAATGAATGCCTTTTACGTATTGCGGATGTGTCACACTGAGAAAGAGAGACAAATAATGGAGACGTCCCAGTCTCAAGAGGTTTCGCAAATCTGACACCATTCATCAGAATTCCTTTTTTTTTCTGTCATTTAACGATCGATTTCGAAAAAGCGACGTAATTCAATTGCATCCCTCTGCCAGATCCCATTTCTTTTTCTATATTCCTTTTGTTAGTCTTGTTGCACATTTTACACGGTCTGTCTGCATTGTTAGGAATTGAATTAGTTCGTTCCTTTGAAGGGCAAAAGATTTTCTTGAAAGAGAAGAGGCTAGAAAAGTCGATTCTGGAGCAAACTTTTCTAGAAAATCTCACCAGATTGCCAACAGCATTTTCAAAATTCCTATTCCAGAATTACACTTTGTTTATCTACGTTTTGTACGGGGATTGGGGGGCGGGGGTAAAAAAAGTTTCAATATTGCCGATTAATTTTTCAAAAAGGTCTATATCTAAAATTTTCCAGATAATGAAAATTTTAAACAATGATGAATACGAAAGCATGGTAGAAATTATATTAATTAATTGTAAAAACTTAACTCTAAATTCATAGCGTAAGATTTTTATAATGAAGTAATGCGAATTATACATAGAAATACACAAGAAGACCTGTTGTGACTTAGTTATATACTCAACTATGTATTCTTAATAGACACGAAACAAATACAACCTCTTTCAATAATATTCCAAACTTTATGTTCTTTTCAGTACTGTACGCCCACACAATTGATTCCGAGCAACATGAGAATGTTCTGTGAAAGTTCAACTGCTAGCACGTTACCAAGGCAAGAATTCTACAGATCGTTAAAAAATATCTTTAAAATGCTAAAACAAAACAAAAATAAAAGTTCTACATTGCTCGTTTTACTGGACCGATTGATAAAATTTAATTTGTGTTTTTTATGTCTTGAAAGCGCGGCTTAGGGTATATATCACATTCATATATAGCATTGTTCTAACACAAGTATTCTGATATAATATCGGACTTTTTTCTGAGATGACATACCTATTTTTTCACATATTTCGATTCTGCGGTTCAAATTATGCTTAAGTGCCAAGTTTTGCAAAAATCACATAAATTTAAAAAATTAGTTCTCAAAATTTTAGCTCCTCAATGTTAATTGAAATTTGGTATATACATTTATTAATTTACCTTTTTCTTATTAAACTTACTTGATTTCTTCTTTCACAATTCAAAATTGATGTTCAAACCAAATAAAATTCGCAGATGTTTTCGGATTTATTTAAAAAATTTATATTTTTAGTAATTTTTATAAATTTTTGAAAAATATTTTGAATTACAACCTATAAATTTTGTACCATCACCTTAAAGTAGATGTGTTTCTAGGCATACTAGTTTTTTTTTCTTTTTTCTTTTTTTTCTTGTGCACCAGGGAAAGGAAAATATGTTCCCGTAAATTAAGAATTCCACCGATTTATTCTTGGCGCAAACTGAAAAAAATTAAGCCACGATAAATTTTTAAATTCCTCACGAGGTTTTGCAAAATTTAACATTTAAGCATAATCTGAGTAGTAGTATTGAAATATGGGGAAAAAATTGGTATGTCACTAGGTTATTTTAAAGCAGGAGACGTGAAAAATGTGCAATGCTGTCGCCTGGACATGAACCCTGGAACTCTCGAACAGGCGTCGAGTGCGCTTCCAATTACAACAAGACGGCACACAGGAGGGAGAAAATACCTTATAGTCATTTTAAAAAAAACTCCGATTCTGCGTCAAAATACTTATGTTAGAAAAATCAAATTAAATTCCGTCGATCGTCCCAGTAGAAAGGGAGATATAGAACTTTGTTGTTGTTGTACGGAATGAACAGAAAGAAAATTCATTAAAAACGAGTATGGTTTGCACAAGAAGAAACTCTCACTACACAAGTAGATTTTTAGCTCTGGATGAAATTTCCTGATTAGCAATAATAAAAAAATGACATAAAACTTGAGAAGACTACCTGAAGCTTTCTTCAATTGATGAAGATTATTTACCTACCTCTTTGAACACACTGTTAATATATAATTTACAGCTGCATTTTATTTATCATAAATTTGAAAAATCAGTTTTATAAATATCATTATGGGTGGATGATGTCATATATGACATCTCAACCAGTTTTAAAATACTGAAAGATCTTGGCTTCAAATATGTAGAGGCAATTCACATAATTTCACTATAATTAATTAACTATGCTTATATTCAAATTACACTAAAAATATAAAATTTATTAAAGCACGAGTGACGTATGAGGATTATAATAGCACTCGTCTCATCAGCAATGCGTAAAATTTTATTCCTACACCCTTCCTGAAATTAGAAAATACAGTTTGTAGAAATTTTTACTTACCAATTATTGACTTGGAGTATTGTCAAACCTGTGTCTTGAGCCAACTGTTTCTTTTGGTCTTCAGATGGGTAAGGGTGCTAAAAGAAGAAGAAAAGAACTAATGAAAATAAGAACTTGCACCTACCAAATAGAGCATGCATATATCAGATTTCACACACTACAACAAATTAAAGCTTTATAATCGATGTCATCATTTTAACAGAGCTACGCTAACCTGAACTTTGAAATTAAGGCAAAATTCCAGTTAACTTGTGAAATATTTCAAACATTTAGAAAGATTACGTACCTTATCTTTTAGATGCAATACTATTCCACTAAAATTAAATTCTTTGTGTGTTTTCACTCCTTGAGGCACGTTAGTATCTCTTGAACTTTGCCGAATTTTAACGTACTGACTGAAATTTGAAAGCGTCTGGGAAAATCAGATGCTATCGATTTTGAAATAATTCAGTGACAATATTAAAAATTTCAAAGATTTTTCACTATAGAATTTTTAATTTTTCTACATTTTAAGTTTTCATATTTATTTAAGATTCTTTTTAGGTTAGGAAAATCTTTTTAAATTGAAAGATATTTTTAATGTCTTTACTTTGTATTTTTGCCACTCTCCTTCGCTTTGGGAAAGGGCCAGAATTTTCGCGTGAACTATTATAATTAAAATACATTTGAATGGTTCATCAGCTAATTCTGGATACAGAAAAGCAAGGATTTTTTATGAAAGAGAGGTTTTAATTGGTTTCAATGTTTCCTCCTCCTCATGACGTGGCATTGAAATTAATCGAATTCCTCTTCTTTCATTTTCTTTCTTTTTTTCATTAATTTTTTAATTTGGGTTTTACCTGTTTGAAGAATTTTATTTTTAATATTTGTTAAATTCTTCTATATACATTTACAGGATTTCTTGAAATTAATTGCTTATGCATTTCGATTTTTGGTCTTTGTGAAAAATTGGTTCTAAATTTCTTTTTTTTTTTTTTTTATACATTTACAGAGGCTGTTAACACATTTTTTAGACTATGTATATTGTATTCACAAAACTAAATTACATAAAATTCTTGTGTTTTAAATGTTCTATTTGACATCCCTTAATCTGAACTATCTTTCGACACCGCAAAGCCTTTTGAAGTGGCAGAAGAGATATTCTATCCCATTCCTCCCGAACAGCTTTCCAGAGTCCTGTTAGGGTTTTTGGGACAACGTTTGGATAATGCAGTTTTTAAAAGTCCGAAAGCACAAAATTCCATAGGTGACACATCGGGAGATTTAGTAGGGATATCAGTGAAGGGTATGACCTTGATACCCAGTTTTTGTTCCATTTCTTTTAGGAAATTTTACAGTGGATTTGATGTGTGACTGCTAGCTTTGTCCTGATGGAGTCTCACAGATTGATGGCACTGTGGGTTAAAGCGATGGTATTTCATTCAGAAAAATTGGCGATAAAATATGTTCCTGATAGTATTTGGAGTTAATCTTGACATTTTTTTGCACTCTCTTATTTTTTAACTTGCCATTATAAGAAAAACCAGCAACAAACATGAATCCCTTAGAAAAACTTTCTTTCGATTCTTTGAAACCATGTACTTTAAATTTTTTCTCCCCTTTTGTGATAATAAACGGCTCTTTTTTTGTTACAATCATTTAAATACACCCATGCTTCATCTATTGTGACCAATTGTTTTCCATTTTTCTTTGGATAAGGGTTTCTCATATAGAATCTGCAGCGTAATCCTGCGTTGAGCGATATGCTTTGGAAGAAGACGATGCACACTGCGTTTTTTCGCTTTCTTAAGATTTAAATCAACGTTTATCATTTTGTTTACAGTGGAAACCGAGCATTTTAATGACTTTGCAACTGTCCGTTGACTAGGGGGATTTTCTTTTAACATTAAACAACGTACCTTTGCAATAGTCGAAGATGTCCGTTTTTCCTTGGTTACTTGTTTGGAATTTTTGTCCCACTTGAGGCTCCAATTTGACGTTTTTTCCCTTTCTTGTTGATGATATTACCTTTCAACGCTTTAGATATCACAAAACCATGACTCTCACATCGTTTTTGGATAACGGAGTATGCATATTTCTCTTCGGAAAGAGCATAAATATAGCCTTCGAACCACTGCTTTTTGAAATTCGCCATTTTGAATAAAAACAAAACTTTCAAGCCACAGACGATGATTTTGACTTTTAAAAACATAGTACAATTGCAATTACGTCTTTTGCAGCAAACTATTTTTTATTACCACTTACCAAAATCGTCTAAAGAATGTGCGAACAGCCTCTGCCTTAATCAATTTTCAGCGGTAAAATGCGAGAAAGATTATGAGGTTTTCTTTTAAAAAATAACTTGTATGTACATATCAAAGATTGAATTAATATGAATTAATCGTAATAAATTGCCTAATACTTGCCCAAAAGCTGCAAAGTAATAAAATTATTAATTAATTATTGTTAATTGATCGGGGGTTGGTTTGCTTCCCTTGAAAAGTCAATTAATTTTCGATCAATGACAATATTTACTTGGTTTATTGATTACTTTTTAATTTTTTTAAATTCTACTAACTTTCTCAAACGAGATAATACACTCAATTAATGCATTAGTAAATAAATTATATATAATGTGTTAATGAAAATTTATTAAAAATACTATGTATAGTGTTTTCAATATTATATACATTTAAACATTTAAAAATAAACAAGTAAAATAACTTGAAAGAAAGTATTCAACTAAACACTAACCTTCGCAAGTATTTTAAAACATCATAAAGCAAAATTACTAATTTTTAAAAAAAAATTATTAATATCGCTTTTTCAGTCAATGAAAATAGGGAAAAGAGTAGTAATTCGTTCAAGAAAATATTTGCGATTGCCATTAAAATAGTCTAGTTTCTCATTTAAAAGAGACTGAATTTAAAAACTTGCAAATAAATGAATGAAAAGGAAATGGAAGGAAAAATTAAAATATTTCATTCCCCATCTTTCCATTATTATTATATTTTTTCATTTGATATCCTAACCCAAATGAAGATGTCTCTTAATTTTTTCGCTACACAAACTGTCAAAAAAACTTTAAAGATGAAGCTAAGTTTTCTGAAAAATATATATCTTACTTATCCTTTAGAGAAATCTTCAGTTACTTAAACTTAACGCGATTAAGTTAAAAGGAGTCGGGGAAAAAAATAAACCCTCTTTGGACAAACTTGGGTAATGTATTTACTTCTCCAGATAATATTTCAAAATGTCAGTTATAGCAATAATTATCAGCGACACAAGCCTGATAATGGTATCTACAGCGAGATGAATCTTTCTACGGAAAAAGGAGAGAGGTGGAGGGTGGAAAGGGACATCTCTTTGGTGTGTTCAGATAGAAATGACAAAAACGTTAATGAGTTTTAGTGCATTTCATTTTTTCCATCGTTCACAGTAAAAAATAGAAACTGTGTAGGTAGATTAAATGCAAACAAAAAATATCTCCTCCACAGCAATTATACGAATGTCAAAAAAATTCCCATGAGTTTCGGTAAAAAGGAAAGAGATGGGGGAAAGGAGCTTGGGGATTTTTTTTATAAGATTTTTCTCTTCCACAAAAATTTTACTTTTAGTTTTTTGGCAAGATTAGCTCCAAAGGAAAGAAGAAAAGTATTAAAAATTTCCTATTAGGTTGGTTTTTTTTATCCACTTGCTATGGTTTTAGCGTTTTCTATAGTTTAAAAAATATATATTTCTAAACTGCAAAATAATTCATAGCTAGTATTATGAAGCTATGGAGCTTTTTTTCAATGTGAATACAACCACAAAGTGGTGGAAGGTTAACTTCACATATAAAAAACAAGAATTCTCACTCAGCAGGAAAACTTAATTCTTCTTCAGAAGAAAACACTTTACTTGAAAAAACTAAAAAGTACATAAAATTTGAATTCAGATAATCTGAAAGTTATCAAAAGAAATTTTTAATATTTGATAACATGAGTTTTAACACTGGAAATTTATAAATAAGGTCTGCATAACGCGAATAAAGTGTTCTACTGTTTACATAAAATGTTTAAAATTTATGCAATGTTTTTATGTTATATTTAAAATGTTTTTTTAATTACGTAATGTTTAAAATGTTTTTTAGTTATGTAATGTTTAAAGTTGATGTCATTCTATTTAAAATCGGATATTTTTCCAGATAAGGTTCCCAAATTACTCTGCTTTCTTTTAAATTATCGAAAATTTTACAATTAAACAAAATAGAGACAATAGAAATCATTCATAACGTAATGATTTAGCTGAGAACGTTCACATTCATTTTAATAATTTTCATTTGATTCACATTCATTTAATTCATTCTTTAACTGCTAAGAATGACTGAAAAGCAACTTCTACTTCAAGGATATATTTACTTGAAATTTCTTCTTCAGCTCGAGGAATTTTTATTACCTTCCTTTAAAGTGTCACTTTCATAGCTCATTTGTTTTTTCTCGACAAGTATTCACATATAAATTTTCTACTTTTTTAGACTCAAACTTTAAATTAAAGAAAATAATAAATGTTTTATTGAATACCTCGGAAAATTCTCGGTAGATATCAAATGCAGAGGCTTGTCTGCATTAAATAAAAATTAAACTGTAGGAATAATTTTCAAGTTAACATACAGTTTTGCTTTGTTATGATTCTCAGTTGATTTTTCTCTTAAAATTTCAGTATATGATACCTGTTGAGTTTATCTTTAAATATCAGATACGGATTGGATCGCGAGTTTAACTTTGTTTTTAAATATTAGATATCGTTTAGACATCAGTCCATTCTCTTTAATCTAAATTTATAAAATTTCGTAACTTTGTTCAAAAGAAACTGTACTATAATACTGCGCGATATATGAACTACAGCAATTCTCTGCACAGCCGGTTCCTCAACAAAGGGAAAACTAAAGAGCATTGAATTGGTTTATCTCTACTGCAGTTTGAAAAGTAAACTCAAGAATGATTTCTTGAGTTTACTTTTCAAACTGCAGTAGAGATAAACCAATTCTATACAATATATCTGAAATCAAGAAAAAGATTTTATCTTGATTTCAGATATAAAGGAAAACAATATCTCT